TCTTTTTGTATTCACTGGATTGGCGAGAGTGTCTTTAGTTATTAAATTATGACCTCACTAATTTTGAAATTAAATAACTGAAGTTCAAAAACCAAATTATTTTATTGCCCAGTCTAAATTTATTAATATATTAGTGTGCGCCCAGCCTAACACTTCACCATGACTGAGCCTCTGATCCACAAAATAGATGGGGGTTGATTTTGGAAATTAAATAAGAAAGAGGGGTTTGTTTTTTGGAAATCCCAAAAATATGCAAAACTGGAAGCTTAAATACACGCTTGTACGGTATGTGTGAATGTCTTAATTCTTCGAAGCCAAGTGTTTGACCAGACTTTGGTATGCGCGCGTACCATGACGTGCACGATGATACTTAAAACCAGGACATTCCATCTTCCGGGAAGTCACCCCTGACTTTGGGCTTGGTACAATTAAGGAAATCTTTGGCGTAATAATGCACGACCAAGTTTGTTCGTTGTACAGAAGTTTATACGATCCCCATTCCCTTTCAAAAACATTATCGTCTGAACTAATTACGAATAATCATAGCAATCATATAGTGTACAGTTTTAAATAAAAAAAATAAAAAATTAAGTGAGAACGTTTAGCTAAAACTACCTTCCAGCAAAATAAATGCGTTCGATTTGATTAGAAGATAAGTTTTCATTCTATATAAGCCGCGTTTACACCAAAGTCTTCCACTAAGTTTTCCAATAGTGGCGGAAACTAGTTGCTTTTTCTACAAAATAAAGCGTCTTTTTCTGTCGTCCACTAGTGGAGAGACAAGTTTCCACTAAATTTTAGTTTCCCGCGGAGCGTCGGTAAAGATTAAAGAAAGTTTACAACAAAAAGTGGAAGATTATTTGCTACGCGCTTTGCGCAAGCAAATGGTGGAAATATAGTGGAGAACTGTCTCCTTAGGCCCCTCCACGCACCCAGAGTGTGAAGGCGGGCGGTAGTCAATTCTTTGGCAACAAGTTTTCCACTAGTTTCTCCTAAATTAGTGAGGAGCAACTTTTGGTTTTCCTCAAAAAATCTTACACTAGTTTCTTAAATTTGTTCAGAGCAACATTTACAGTAGTTGTAAATTTTTAGTTGTAAACTTTTAGCTGTAAAATTTTGGTTGTAAACTTTTTGTTGTCAACTTAGGTGTAAACGCGGCTTTGTTTTTGCCACATCTATCGGTTTGCTTCGCTCATCAATCGATGGATGAATCACAATGTATATTTTATGTATATTTATTTTTTGTATTTTCCATGTTACTGTCGTCCTGGCGGCAATTTCCATAAACTTTCACGTCTTATTAATGAAGTTCAGTAGTCATTGGTGTTGGCATCGGAGTGCGCTCAGTTCTCTAAACCTGTTCGATGTAGACTTCCGGTGGTCTACACGCAGCTGCGACTGCGACGAGAAACTTGTGTTTTCGCCAGTAACTCTCCCCTCCCCACCATTACCAACCTAACTGGCAACTGGTAGCGACATAGCAATCGAGATCAACGTGACAAATTACTCGTGGTGCTACGTTCACAAGAAGTTTACCACAAACAACTGTCATGCGCAATGTGCGTATGCGAAGAGCGATATTATTCAGGCGACTAAAAGTAGTATCAAAAACTTTGGATGTATGTGAGTTCCCCTCTGTATTAACGCTCTTACAACTGTATTCAAAGTGCTCAAGCAAACAATATATAGACTAATTCAAAATGAAAAATATTGTTTCGGAAAATAAAAACTATCAAATTGAAAACCTTTTTAACGATAGTTGGTGCTGCACTGGTACAATCTTTGTTTTGTATATAGCATTTCTGCACTTCCACGCGTGTAGATTGTCCTGTGTTGGACAATTAGCAAGACAGGTTTTCCTACTCACGGCGAGACGCGGCGGCGGAACCTTGGCTGTTCTGTAGGACCTCTCACACTCGGCCCTGACTGAGGCCCCGCCGCACACTTCCTCTTCCGTTCTTATACTTTGTCAATAAATCCTTAACTTTTAGCTCAACTTCTGATGTCACAAGACAGTAAAGTAGTAATATTCCCAGGGGTAAAATTAGCTAACACCGGACACGGAGAATACGTTTTGCACCCAAGTTGAACACCATACTGTTGATACTGTAGCCTTTTACTGACATTCGACCAAAGGATGAGCGAGTTATGTTAAGCGTTCACTTCAACGATGCCGCTCCCTACGTCAAGGAACATGGGACACTTAATCACGGGAAGTGATAACGTCGTGACGTCTAGTCACACGACTTTATATACGTACAAGTGTCATATCGACGTATAGTCACGTGACTTTTTATAAGAAATCTCATCTCAATTTTGGAAATAAAAATTGTTTGTTATTCCCCCTAAACATCTTTTTTTTAATTTTTGATCAGTTTGACTCGTCAGCTGATCGATTTTTAAAGGTGAATAAAAACATATTTTTAATGAAGGTTATACTATATTATTATATGTAATTCGTTTCAGGAAGAAACACAAAGAATTATTATGTTATTTGTATAGTAATAAAACCTTACCTAAATTTATGATCTTATTTATATAGGTTGTACTAAAAATTTTCATAATTCATACATATAAATTTCTTATGGGTCATAAAACATCACCATGATTGATGTATAACATTCATTATAGGTTATACGTTTTATTATAAATCTTTTCTACTTTTGAAAATAAGTATTGTTTGTTGAAAAATATTCAATACAAATTGAATTTTGTTTGTTTACAAAATTGCTCAGCAGCTGACCTCGAGTTTGTCACAGGCAAAGAAAAATATTAATCAACTATGCTTACCCAGAAAAAGTTTTACTCCTGAGTTAACAGGATAGCCAACATCTTTAACTTACATCCTTGATCAATATAAGTAAATCAATTAGTTATGGGCTTTATGTAAAATACTGGATCAGTCACTATCAGCCACAAAAATGACTGATTGGCAGTTCTAGGGTTAACTCGATGTGACGAGCAGTGTAATATGGTGCATTTCGTCACATGACTTAAAACAATGTTACAATTCGTAATATATCGTGACGTTTGGTCATGTGACTTAGTGGGATTTCACGAGCTGTAACATAGTGTGAAAATTAGTGACGTGGCTTAATTTATATAATTAGAGGATCAGTAACACAGCTTGACATTTATTTAGGTGACAATGTTACAAAGTTATATATTGTAATATTTCTTGACGTTTAGTCATGTGACTTAATACAATGTGACGAGCAGCAAGTCTTCTGTGACTTAATTTTAAATCATGTGACAAAATGTCATATTATAATGTAATGAGTAGTAAGCCTTGCATATTGTGACGTAAGACTACGGGATGAGACGTAAGCTATTGTGACGTGTGGTGAAGCTTCTTGACTTGACGTGACGAAGTGACAGAACGTGATGACGCATATTGTAATAAATGACGTCGCAGAATGAGACATAAGATAATGTGACAAGATGAGGCCTATGGATATCAAAATGTATAGCTGTCTGATGCTGCATGACTTAGACGTGACTAAACGTAAAGAAACAATGGTGATATAGGGTGAAGTCACCGGATGAGATGTGGGATGTGATGTTACATTCAATACAATATTTACTTGTATTGAAATGTGACATAGCCTATTGCTTTGCTGAATGGCCAAATAAAATCATTGAATCAAAGTCATGACAATAAATATACAAATGTAAGGTATAGAGGAAATCACATAGCCTGACTCAGATGTTAGCTGATGCGGTTTCATGTGAGATGACCTGAAGTGATACTACTTCACTTTGTAGAGTGATACTACTTTGTGGCTACTTTGTATGGCTGATTAGTGCTTGTGCAATTTGTTTATGTTCTTCTCTAATAGTATACTGTTGTATACTATTATTATTATTATTTACTGTGTTTACTGAGTTTTTGTCTTACACATGGAGTTGTAGTGAGTCCTTTGCAAGTACAATTCCCAAAAGGTTTCAGGGCTAATGTATAGGCTCTGTAATGAAACACAAGTGTTATTTTATCCCAGGGGCCTAATAAAACACTTAACACGTTCGCTACTGCAATAGTTCAAAATTGTCCATTCACATGGACCAGCGACGCACATATGCGACGGCCGGTTTCCACCCATAGACTGCTGTCGCATATATGCGAGGGCTAGTCACATTAAAATAGACTGCCGCCGCATATTTGCGTCGGGGTTCTAATGTTATTAAAATGCTTATATCTTTGTAGTGGTCTATTTGAAGGCACTGAATACCCTGCAGTGGTCTACAGAGATGTCTGACGCACAACTGCGTCGCTTGGTCTGTGGATATGATGATTGGTGACGTCATATAATAGTTGGAAAAACCGGTCTTTACTTTTCTGCATCATTGTATGTATGTATGCAGTATATATGCTGCATTATCCTATGTAGCTTTTATATTTGTTCAGTTATAAACTGTTCTTGAATAATCTGTTAATTTTTTCTTACTTTTACCTTAAAACACAAAAAAATGAACTGTCGCATATATGCGACGTTTAGTCTATTTTAAGAAAACTGTGATAATTTTTACTATTGTCTTCGCTGTAGACCGGGCGTCGCAAATATGCGACATCACAAAAGGTTATAAAAAATACAAAGAAACAAGAATAATTTATTTATAAATACTATTGTAGCGTATTACAATGTAAATGATCACTGTTTTACAGGTTTTCGCCCGTGGTCTGTGTGTATTGTTATCCAAGTGACAGCCGGTCTATGTGTAAGATTCAAATGTATACCTCGGTCTGTGGCAATGACCGTGGCGTCGCATATATGCGATGCTCAGTAGCGAACGTGTTAATCTAGCAATGCCGTAATGTCCACAGCTTATGGACTCTTATTTTATGTTGTTATTATTTATAGTTGTGCTATTGTCTATAGGTACTGTAGGCTCAGTAAAATTACATTTAAGAAGTTTACAGCAGGTTTAACTGAAATATGTATATCCATTGACCTAAAATTCTAAGAGGTCTAAATATTAAATATCTTTCAATTATGTTACAGTTTTCGCCGATGACAATACTACCGCCGTATGATCCCGCAAGGAAAAAAGAGACCCCAGGTACACCACAGTTTACATCGGAAAGAGAGACGTGTCTCAAGTACTTTGAGAGATGGAGCGAACAAGACCAAATAGAGTTTGTAGAACATCTGTTGTCACGGATGTGTCATTATCAGCATGGACATATAAACACCTACCTCAAACCCATGCTGCAGAGGGACTTCATTTCACTGTTACCAAGTAAGTAGCTTATTACACCTAACAAAAGTCCTTGGTAGGTTAGGCAGTTAAAGTAGGATTGATACTTCTACTCCAGTTAATGAAAGAAACACAATGGCGAATACTACATAAGAATGACTGTTAATATAAATATAGAGTTTTGGTCTGTCTTAAAGAGAGTATGCTATTTGCAATACTTGGTATATAATTATAGTCCGATTGCCTATAGGGGATTACTTAAGAGTGTAACATTTTATAATGGCTCAGACTGTCTTATACAATCCATACAGCAAATTTAGTAAGGGATGTTCTCCTGATTTGTATATAATTTGACTCTTTAATTAGGCTACTTAATTTTTCAGAATTTATTTGTGGCTTTAGAAAAAAACAGATTTTCAGTAAAAAAAAATGTAGTTCTTATTTTTAGAGATACTTTATCATAAACTACTTAATACATAGAACTGTATCTAGATCAAATTGCATCACCATTACTAATTTTCTCCCAAACAACTGATTAGGAAGAAGGTCATTACACATTTTACCAAAACAATAAATTTCTATTTTTCAGAAAAAGGATTAGATCATGTTGCAGAAAATATTTTGTCGTATTTGGATGCGGACTCGCTTTGCTATGCGGAACTCGTGTGCAAGGAATGGTACCGTGTGATATCCGAAGGCATGCTATGGAAAAAGTTGATAGAAAGAAAAGTTAGGACAGACTCATTATGGAGAGGATTGGCGGAAAAGAGGGGCTGGTAAGTGATATGTGGTAGCTATATAAGCAAATTTATAGCTTATTTATTGGTTGGAGGTCTGTTATTGATATCCAAACTGATGTAATCTTGTTTACTATTGTAATGTAGTTTTATGCTTTTAAACTGATCTGCATCTGTTAGTACTAACTATTTATTTTTACTGTAATACCGTACTGTAGTTGTAAGCTCGGTTGAGCATTAAAATTTTTTTCTACGGTTAATTTGTAAATCTCTGTCTAATCAAGATCCTAATAAATCTTAAGTTTAACTAATATTTATTCGTGTTAGTTTCTTCACTCAATAGCTTACGAAAACAATAGTGAGAATTTATCTACCTTTTGATTGGCAGTGATTCACAAAAACAAAAATCTATTAGCCTGATAAAAACAATCTAGGGGAATCTAGGGAAATTAACTATTTAAACATGAAAAATAGTCACCGGACTGTTATTTAAAGGTATGTTATTATTTATTTCTCATTATTAAATCCTACAACTCCTCCTGAAAATTCCCTTTGCTATCCATTAACAGGCTTTGTTAAGAGAATACAAAAAATCCTTACTGTATCATCGTGAAGAAAACAAGAGGCGCATGTAATAGCTAATTTACGATTATCATAACCTATTGAATTATTATTATATACTGCGCATCAACGTTTTTAGTTTTAAATATTACATGTATTTATTCTCTCCACATATTTATAAATTATTTTCTTCTTTTAGTGCGTTTAGAAATGTGGTATTTTAAAAAGTTTTTTTAAAATTTATAAATTATTTTCTACTCTAGTCTTTAATGTATAAATAATGTAAAATCTATTTTAATGGCATATTAATACATAACTAAAACATTTTTAGCTGTAATGAGATGTTGCTACTATTCTCATAATCATTTAACTTTATAATCTCTTGAGAGCTGAACCTACCAAAGTACAATCGTTTTAATTGTGTTGGTTAACTAACAAACTTAACCTTTTTACAGGATTCAATTTTTGTTCAAGCCTAAGCCTGGAAAGCAGCATCCAAATCACAGCTTTTACAGAACATTATTTCCTAAAATTATTCAAGATATTGAAGTAAGTATTCTTCTTTAAAGTTTCTAGTGTTTATAGTTAATCAAGTAAATTAATGCACTAGATGAGTTCCATTATGGGTATAGGTTCACAACTGGTACAACATGCAGCTGAAACACCCAGTTAAATAATCCTTGAGCAATCCAAGTTGATTTTAAAGGTGTACTACTAACTTGCTGCAATGCTACTAACTTTCTGTAATTCTGTTGGGTTTAGCTGATGAGCATGAGGCAGATTAGTGAGATGTTTTAAATGATCAGAATTCAAGTCAGTTTATCGTTTTCTGCAAAATAATCGTTTAGATCAGTGGCCAGGGGGGATTGGTAGATTTATCCCCTGAAATATCTGAGTGGATCCTGTTTTATGCTTTACACTTTACATTGTAGTATGAGGGCATCCCTCCCTGGGTTTAAACCCGCCACTGGTTATAGTTGTAGGCAAGCTAGTCACTTTTTCGCTATCAGGGGAAGACTATCTTTCTTATACTTTACACTTTATTTGTTACTGTACATTAATCATGAGAAAGCAATACGTAATTAGCTTTGCAAAGTCTTATTATACCCTTTCCACAATCTGAAACAATTAAAACAAGTTTTAATAAGTGTTAAAAGTTTTTATGACGCATTAAAATTTGTATTTGTTATTTTAGAGCATAGAAAATAATTGGAGGACGGGACAGCATGTGCTTCAAAGGATCAATTGCAGATCAGAAAACTCTAAAGGTGTCTACTGTTTGCAATATGACGACCACAAGATAGTGTCAGGCCTAAGGGACAATACAATTAAAATATGGGATCGCAATTCTCTGCAATGTGTGAAGGTAAGACATTCTAGAAATTGTTGTAAACATTTGTCTAAATTTATGTTTTTTTAGTAAAAGCATTTAACTTGGATTAAAAAATGATATAGGATGGAGAGGACCCAGCCAAATCATCTGAAGAAAGTTTGCAGATGAGTCACAGCACAAATAAACCATATGCACACACAAAAGACTTAATATTTCGCCTCTTTTAGATGTTTAACATAATAATAGTTTAACATAAGAAATCACAACAGCTTAAAAAGTTAATATTTTTTAAATCAATTGTAGTTGTGTTGACATCATTGTCTTCTGTGGTTCCCACAGTCACGGAAACATCATCATCTTCCCTTTTTGCAGCAAAGTAGGAAAATATCTTCTGCAGTTGTGTAGATATCATCAATGTCATCCGTGATCGCCGCAAAATCTTGAACATCCACCACAGTCTTGGAGACATAATTTTTGTCTCGCACAGAAACAGAATCATATAATCGTCTTTTGCAATCGCAGCGAAAGTGTTCAATTCTGATTGAAGATTCTTTGTAGACACCATAATAGACACATTAAGCAATTTCAATTTTTTCAAAATTCAAATTTCAAAGTTCAATTTTTTCTTGAGCTTGATCACTTAAGCTTTTGGACAGGCTCAGCTCAGCTCAAAATTCTGAATGGAGTATGCTCTATATACTGTAATACCTTGAGTTTTGTTGAAAGTCAAACTATCTAAGTACTTGGTTACCCAAATGTGGTGATAGTACCACCATTTTTGTATATACTTAAAGATGAGTGTATATAACATTATCAATGTTTAATTATTTAATTAATGTTTAATTATTATTATTTAATGTATTTAAAATGTAGGAATTAAAATAGTTTTCATTCCCCAGTGTGCCCACCATAGTATGGATACTATGAATACACCACCTAAACTTTCGATAAGTGTGCAAATGATTTTATATAACAAAAGTGATATAACAAAAGAGATGGTCATCACAGTTGTGTTGTTTGAAAGACAGGTGCTGACAGGAGAGATGTTGATCACTGTTGTGTTGTTTGAATGACAGGTGATGACAGGACACACAGGCTCAGTTCTCTGTCTGCAGTATGATGACAAGGTGATCATCAGTGGGTCCAGTGATAGCACAGTTAGAGTGTAGGATGTTGTGACAGGAAAGATTTTGATCACTGTTGTGTTGTTTGAATGACAGGTGCTGACAGGACACACAGGCTCAGTTCTCTGTCTGCAGTATGATGACAAGGTGATCATCAGTGGGTCCAGTGATAGCACAGTCAGGGTGTGGGATGTAGTGACAGGAGAGATGGTCAATACTCTTATACATCACTGTGAAGCCGTGCTGCATCTTCGCTTCAGCAATGGCATGATGGTCACCTGCTCCAAGGTACTGTAAAACCCTGCTCAAGGGGCACTTTGAATAATCCAGTACTGTATCAATATGAGGGATTTTTTTACAGATAATTAGCTTTACCAAAGTACCCCTTGAGTAAAGTAAGTAAGATAATCCATTTACCAAAGTTTAGACACAATCTATTAATTTTGGACATTTTGCGCTGAGTTTAAGTGCATTCAGCAAAGCCTGATTCCCTCAAATTCAGACATTTAAGGACAAAGGTTAAAAGGATTTGGCAATGTTTGAACCCATTTTGTTGAGGTCATGTGTACTCCAAATAATTGTATGATATTTATAAAAATAACATGTTGGTAACTTTTTGACTATTTTAGTGATGTTTCTACTACCCCCTAAAAATTGCTGTTTTAAGATAGTAATTAGTAAACTAGCAATTTTCTGTAATCCGGCATTGCCAAAGTCCTGAACGTGTACCAGGTTAGCAAATGTCTACTGAGCTGTATACTATCCTAGAAGTCATTATGTCTAATAAAAAATGTGCATGGTGTATAACTAGAGTAATTAATACCTTTTCCTAGGAAGTTTGAGCTTATAAAAATAGGTAATTCCTTTAAAGATGCTACAAAAACTAGCTTGTATTACCAATGATTACATTCTACTGTAAAAAGGTGTTGTGAGTGCCAATATCTTTTATAAGTATTGAATTCCTTTCACTAGATTACTTTATTTTAAAATGTAACGTTACACATCCAGGTTACAACGTTCTTCTTTCTTACAGTATGTTTGTGTTGACAGGATCGGTCGATAGCAGTGTGGGACATGTCTTCCCAGACTGAGATCACGTTACGTCGAGTGCTGGTGGGCCACCGTGCTGCTGTCAATGTTGTTGACTTTGATGAGAAGTACATTGTGTCAGCAAGTGGTGATAGGACAATCAAAGTGTGGAATACTTCGTCTTGTGAGTTTGTGCGCACACTCAACGGCCACAAGCGGGGGATTGCGTGTTTGCAATATAGAGACAGATTAGTTGTCAGTGGAAGTTCAGACAACACTATTAGGTGAGGCCAGATTGTTTGGATACAGTCAATAAGAAGTAAGGATGGACGAGATTGTACTTTTAGTTTGGGGTGGGATAGGACAGGAATTTTCCTTCTTGATTTTTCCCAATTTTCAGTCTTTGTCTTGTTGTTCTATAAAAAATTGGGAAAAAATAGACAGGTAACAAAATACCCCTGCCACAGCAAGCATACCTGTCGACTAAGCGAATTTCCATTTGTCTGGACTGATTTTCGATCAAATCTATTTAAATAACGTTAGGTTAAACGAGTACCAAGGTTTGCTGCTACAAGGAAACTAATTAAGCGAGTTTTTTATTAAAATATTAATAGCTTAGTATAAAATAAATAAATTGGCCAAGTTTAATCCAAATATATCAATAAACAAGCAAACTACATCATTTTACAATATTCTCCATAAGAATAACATGTGAATTTTAGATTTACAATTTTTGGAAGTTTCTCTGTTACCAATAACCGTACAAAAACACTTAGATATACTAAATTATTATTTTTTTAAGCTCTTTAACAAGGTCTAGAGAGAAATTGAGAAATTTTGTGTTTTGAGGGTCAAAAATGAGAAAAACCATTTTTTACCCAATAAAAGCCCCCGTAAAACACTGTTCCCATGGTCCGATCATGCTGGTTCGCAAACTCATTCAAGTTTATCCCGCCTTACACCTTCAAACCAAATTTCATCTAAATCGGTCAAAAATTACTCAAGTTATCGCGTTCACGGACGTATATATATATACATATATATATAAATCTATATATATATATATATACATATATACAAATTTGAACGAATAGTGTTTTTGGCCTCTGGGGACATCCAAATGAAAACTGTAAATCGGTCCCGGGCCTAGGTCTTACCGTGCCACCTACGGTAATAGCTACTTCCCTATAGGGAAATTCGCTAAAACTTATAACTAAATAAAATGAGATTCGTTATTAACAGTGAATTATCAGTCTGGTTATAAACCCCCAGAAGATAACCACAAACAGGTATTTAGTGACCATCGTGGCATTTTTGTATATGGTGTCAGGTTTCAATCCCTAACATGGTTATTAGTAGAAAGCAATATTAGCCTTGGTAACCATAAATCTTGTCATGTGTCCCAATCACAACGTCATCATGACTATAATCCGCCATTGCAGTGCCATTGTACCATCTCCCGCGATGACAGCACCATCTTGAACATCAGGACCAAGGCGCAACCTTCAACATGTCCAACATTCACGGCGCAATTGTGAACATGTCTCACGGTCACAGCCCCATCGCTACATGTCTTGTCTTGCGGTCACAGCACCTATGTCAACATTTCTCTCGCCATCCTCAACATGTTCTGTGTTCGCAGCACTTTTTTAAAATGTCCCAAATTCTTGGCATAATTGTCAACATGTCATGTGGTCACAGTGCCATTGTCAACATGTCTCATTATCGATGTGCAGTTGCGAAAATCTTCTGTGATATCAGATATCATTATTGTTCATGAAACCGTTGTGAACATCTTTTGAATTGTGGAGACATTATCATTTACATCCACTATACCAGCGATATTACCCGCGATCGTCGAGACGTCATCAAGTGTCATGGGTCACGATTCCATTGTCAACATGTCTCTAAGGCGTGGTGCAATCTTGAAAAACTCCCACTATCACGTCATAATCATCTACTGGGTTAACAAAACCATCGTAAACGTCTCTCGCAATTGAGGAGAACCTCATTATCGTTACCCAACTACGTTTGGGTGACACCTCCCAAGATTGCGGGGACATCATTATACGTTAGGAACAAATTCTGTTCTGAAAATATATAATTCTAGCTTACGGTGGTAGTTGGCCTAAAAATAGATGTCATATTACTAAAACTATCTTGGTATTGTTATTATTTATGGAAAACCAGCAATTAATTATTATTATTACTATTATTATTATTGTTAATTATTATTCTTGTCTGTCTTGCAGGTTATGGGATATTGAATGTGGAGCTTGTCTAAGAATTTTAGAAGGCCACGAAGAATTAGTGCGATGTATTAGATTTGATAGTAAACGAATTGTTAGTGGTGCATACGACGGGTAAGTAGTGCAATTTCTACAGACTTTTAAATTTAAAAAAATGAATTTGTAACTGATTTGTGTGTAAATATTGGGTATGTAACGTTAACTTTTATTCCAACTACTGTATATCAAATTTGAGAATAATATCATTAGAATATTTACTGTCACTGACATAATTTTCAAGTTTTCAACTTAGGAAGAGTGTTTTCCATTTTCGAGTATATTGTGTAAATCTGTGTTCTTGTCCCAGTTTGGACTCTTTCCCATAATTCCAAAAGCCTGCCACCTCTCACAAAAATAAAAAAAAACCTAGGCCCTTGTGGTCTATGTTACATCCCTAAGAATTAACACAGTTTTTTCATATAATTTAGTTTCAGAGCTAGTAAAATACAATAATTATGTTTTGTCTGACAAGTGAATGTGTGCCTGTGTGTTACAGCAAGATCAAAGTATGGAATCTAGTGGCAGCTCTGGACCCTAGAGCACCTGCCAACACCCTGTGTCTCCGCACTCTTGTGGTAAGGGCTCTCACTGTAACTGTAACACTATCAAATCCAAATACTACAAAGTAGACTCAACGTAATGTGGGGAATCTATGATTGCTAACACTAAAACTTGTAATTCGTTTTCATCACCTTTTTACAATAAAGTGGCATAAGTAAGTACATAGGCTTATCATATGTTAACATCTGTTATAAGTAAATTTTACTTACTGCCCTTTGTCTTGCAAGCAAAGAATCAAGCCCAAAATGTAATAATTATTAGAAACAAATTAGCATAATAAATCAGCTTGTTTAAGAGCAACCTAAGACTTTAGGCGAATCAAACTGTATTGTGGAATTTTGCATAAAAATCTCTGCATATGTATGACATGATTAATGCAATGAACACATTTAAAAAGAAACATTAGTGAAGTGTTGAATTTTGATTGACTTAAGAAGAATACATTTTTATTATCTGTGTGGTCTGATCTTGAGTTCTGTTCAGAATTAAGGCTGAACTGAATGACATCAATACTCAGTAGCTGTATACAGTTTAAGCGTGCCAATTTATTTTCGTTAAAAAACTAAAATTAAAGATATCAAAGTTTTGCAAGCTTGTGTGATGGTAACAAGAGACAGGACTATTTGCTTCAGTGATCAACATTCAATACGGTGATATTGTGACTACAATCTTGTGGTATCATCCTCCTCAATTAAGCCTCATGATCATCCCTTCAGATAGCAATAATATTGTTAAAGTACTGCTAAAAAATCCTCAACTTTTTATATCCAATCCATAAAAAATAACAATTCCCATAGGCTACATCTAATTTTAAAAAATTCATATTTCCAAGTTTTGATCATTTGGTATAAACACTATAATAGAGTGGGAGGAATGGCGTGTGTAACTAAATATTTTGCTCACTCTAATTTCAATCTCAATTCAGTGTAAACTACCATTGAATTTTTAATGAAATTAATTCAATAAATTTGAGATTTAGCTTCGACACGGTACTAAATTCAATGGAAACTACCAAGCTTTGCTTAGAAAACATAAAAGCAGGTGTTCAACAAAACACAATTTACTCCTTAATTTATTTTGAAGGTAGGTGTGAAGATTCTTTTGACAAAATGGAAATATCTTCACTTGTAAGGTTATGCTCAGTCAGAGATGTTAAATACGGAGTTATTGTTTACAATAACAATAGTTCCTGGAGTGATATAATTATTTTTGTCATCAGCTGTTTTACATCAAATTCTGATGAAAAAAGTAAAATTATATCAATCCAGGAACCATTCAGTCCATGCAACAAAGACAGTTTAGCGGAATAAATTTATGTATTATCAGCCAAATTTGCTACAGTTGTAGGTGAAGGGTCCTTAAGGCTCAAACAACATAGGCCTACTAAAAGTTGAAATAATGGCTTACATTTAAAACAAAATGAGATAGATTAAGAGGTTGATGGTCTGCCCCAGGAGCACACAGGACGCGTATTTCGACTGCAGTTTGACGAGTTCCAGATCGTCAGTTCATCTCACGATGACACCATCCTTATCTGGGACTTCCTCAACCACTCTCCAGCGAACATGATCAGTGACACTGCCTGTCCAATGATGGGTGAGTGAACATAATGTACATATTTTGACATTCAGGAATAATAATGGTATAACTCTTGCCATCCCCAACATTTTTAAAAACATCACCTTAACTTTAATTTTTCCAGATAGCCATAACCTTTTCCTGATGTAGTATTGCTGTATAGTTGGAGACATTTTCTTCATTACTGTTGAATTAACTTGCTTTGCCCATAAGTTTGTCTTGTTATAACTTCAAGTCAATAAGCTTCAAGTTTATAATGTCAAGTTACCCAGGACGGTTGGTTGCTGACTCACTAATCCTTAATGTACCAGTTTTATTGAGCCCTAGAGGGGTTTCTTCTGCAATTATCACATGTTAAGTTCATGTTTCCTACTAAAAATGGTAGCACTTCGGCTAACATCCTAGTTCATCGTTTGTAGGAATCTTCATCTTGTTCTTCATTATATAGGGCTAACAAGGATAATTAGTAAAAAAAAAAACAAAACATTATCTCTATTTCTTCTACTTGGTGGCATTCTTTGATTTTCCTTTGTTTCCTTTGCAAATCGGTTCTTTCAATGATTGCTCAAGAAATATATTACTGTGTCAATTCAATTTTCTTTTTGGCGATATATATCTCAAATAGTCCAGGCTTTCTCACTTGTTTCCATTGTAATATGTTCACAAACCCAAAATTAAATAGTAAATATTTAATTTCAACTAAGTCAGTGAATGTGTGTAGCACACGTTTCCTTAAATTGCAACTAAAATACTAACAGAATTTAAATTATCCAGCCGATCATAATGTGGACAAATGGCACTGGAGCGGAGCTCAAGTGACTTTAAAAAAAATTTAAGATAAGTTTGCACACCTACGCGACACGTTCTTGCCAATGAGACTAGAGTTGTCAAAATGGTTTAAGAAATGGTGGAGGAGTTTGGTCCACACATTTCGCATTGGCGTATTAATTATTTAGATTTCAATGCTTTTCACACATTTGTCTTGTTCCAGGTTATGAAGGCTAACCTCTCTTGGTGTTCAGCTGTGGCGTCCGCAGTGTGGCGTAGATCGCTCGTAGCAGCTTCGCTTCTCTACCCCGGGTAGATGAATATTCACTTTTGTTAGTTTACAATGACCGGTGCGTGTACACAGAGCCACGGTATGAGCCGTGTCAGGTCAAACTGTTTAAATCATCAGATTATTATGTTCCTCGATATTGTTGTAAAACAACTATTTATGACTGTATTATTTCACATAGGAAATCGTTTTATACCAGTTATTTATCTTGAAACTTGTTTTAGTTACGCTGTGTAGCAATATGTTGATTGTACATAATAGTGAGCAATGCTTAGGTGAATGGATGTAGTGAGAGCGAAATTGTTTGTATCTAAGAAATAAATTCTGATCTATTCATAAGCCGAAAAAATCTTAAGTTTTAAATAGTGCGTTTTGTATTTTTGTGTTAGTATTTTATATATTTTTTTTAAGTTTTTTTACGATGTGCAGAATTGTTTATTAGTTATCATCATCCATGTGAAATCATTTTATAAATTACGTAATGATTTAAAAAAGTTTTATCCTAATTAATTTATTATTCGTATAGTATATTTATACTTCCCATGGACTTTAAGTTAATATAGGCTATTCGATTTGTTTAGGGACTAAGAAATACATTTTTGTGGTTGTACAGTTGTTAATGTATATTTTGTTGGCTTTTTAAGTATACGTGTACATAATTAATTAAATTAAGTTCGATTGTGTGCAAAATAATTTTGTTAATTAATAATTTATTAAAAGTCGTTATTAGATTGGAAACGATATTTGAATTGTAATTTGTAGCAACTACTGATGTTTAGACTGTTTCTGTTGAGCACAATGATGGGAGCATTAACAGTACGGTATGTGATGTATTAAACTCTACATTGTATGCATAACTACGCAGTTCTGAACTGCATTTCGTCGATATTAAATGTACATAGAAGTCTCAAAAGTGTAAAACTCATTTATCCTAACCCACTTCTATATTATTTGTACGTCTTGTATTTGAACTTCTTACATTTAAATTACATCTGCTTTATTATTGTATTGTACTACGGCATACATTTAAAATCAGAATTCAAACTCATTATTATTAGAAATGAAATATTCAGATTGTAGTGATTTTGAAGAAGCTATTATCATAGTTTGCGTGGTAACACTTAGACCGAGGTCTTATTTGTTTTACTTGTTTTGATGGCTAAAGAGAATACAAACATTTTTTGTTAACTTTCATGGATTAACTTTAAAGACGCCGTCTACTAGTCGGGAATTCCGGGAAAATCGGGAAAAAGTCGGGGATTTTGAAAGATCGTGAAAAGTCGTGAAAAAGTAATGAATTTCGGCCGAAGGTCGGGAATAATCTAACCTTTCAAAATTAGGGATGAACGGGTCCCAAAAATTTTAAAAAACTTTCTGGGTCTTATATTCCTGATTCATACATTATTGAGTCAGTATTCATATACATTATTGAATAAGTATCCATATACGTTTTTGAATCAGTATCCATATACGTAGTTGACTGTTACATACTGTTACTTTGACTATCAGTATCCATATACAGTAACTTATTGACACTATTCAAATTATTGACATTAATTATATAAGTTTTTCACTGAGACATTGCTTCGCCATAGAGGTTATTGCCATCCAAGTACATGAATCACTGAGCCATTGCTTCGCCATAGAAGAAATTACGCATCATACCTTGTAGGTCTGATTCTATCCTCTTATTTTATCAATGTAAACCAATTGAAAGATTCAGTATAAATCTTGCAAAGGTTTTTGTTTGTTTACACCAAAACATATCTTTATATTTATAAAATCAATAAAATAAAACAGGTAACATGCTGAACAACATGATGCTGCAAGTAAAAATTATGAAATAGGCAAGAAGCTCACTGATATTTCCAGAAATACTGTTTCTTCTAATGCATGATTGAAAACAAATATTTCATTCCATTGACAAGTATGAATAGAAAAATGCTGTGTTGCTTCGAATCGAGTTACGTTAAAATTTTTTGCTGCTTCACACACCCCAACATTTGATATGGGATTTTCTCGGCATGTGATTTGTTTCGATCGTCAGTGAATTCGCTGCGTCGCGAGTGACAACCCGATTATTATACCATACCCGATTTTATTAATATTTAGTTGGTGGGTAGCAAAAAACAATCCAAGAGTTAGGTGGGTTGCTGGACCAAAATATTTGGGAACAGCTTTGAAAAAATATTTTTATGAAAATCAAATCAGGAGAGTGGAAATTTGTTTAATCTGCAGGTTTACTGCAAACTAAACTTACACTGCTGGCTGTGAAGATGAGTCAATTAATTAGTAATAGGAAGTGGTATGAACATAAATAGTAGTACTGAATCAAGTGAAAGTATAAACTAGTGATGGTCGAATCCAGGAATTGAAACTCTCGAATCCGAATCTTTAAATCTCGAGTACCAAAATTAATTACAAATGGGCTTATGGTGATTAAAAAAGCAAGAATGGAATAGGAACCATTCAAAAATAAATATTACACTAACTAGTGATGGTCAAAACCAGAAATTTTGAATCTCAAAATCGAAACCGAAACTTAAAAAAATTGATTCCCGAATCTCAAAACCTAAACGCGAAACTTTTTTACTCTAGTGTTTACAAAGGTTAAGGTTACAAAAAATACAGGTAATAACACAAATACTAGAAAGGGCTCGGTATGGAAAACAAAACCATATGTTAATTACTGTAATGCTATTAGTATAGGGGTTTTTTGTTTACTTTCGGGCCAAAAACGTCATTTGTTAATGTTTATTTATTATGATCCATACGGGTATTATGTGACTGATAAACTTTAAACCTAAATCAACATAATTTTAATAAACAACCTAAATTAAAATAAATTAATTCCTGAAATTAACATAAACATGACTATTAGATTAGTTAGACCATTTAGTGTTCAATATTTCTTTGAGTTTAGTAAATAAATATCGTTATGAAAATGAATTCTATGTTGTTCCATTTATAGTATTTAATATGACTTTTGAAGTTCAGAATACAATTTACTGTTTTCATTACTGTATAAAGTGATCTGTTTGATATTTTGCTACGTGTACAAACAGTGTTAAAAACAATAATAATGACACAAAAAATGTCAGCAGTTTCAAAAATAAATATATCAATAATATTATTATTATATTATTAAATTTGTATCACTTTAATAATATAATATATTCCAGATTGGCTTAGAAGTTTTGACTGAGCTTCCGTTTTGTTTAACCAGTTATTTTTTTAATAATAGAAATACAAGGTATAGAACAATTAATTGATAACATTCTTTACAACATTTATTAATTGTGTATATATACAAAATAAATCTATATAAAAGTAACAAAGTATATACAGAATAAGGTGCAATACGACCCTTTTTTGTATAACCATATGAAATATTTATAAAAAAACTATAATTATTAATACATGAGCAACATTTTATAATGACTTTCTTGAGCCTCTGAATTTAGGACTTTAAATGCATTTCTCTCCTAGAAAATGTAAAAATACACATACAAATTTAAAATATTTACAGTTAATAAATAGCATGATAACACAAAATGGAATGGAAACACCAATATTGTTTGTAAATTGGTCTGAAAAATTTCTACATTTTTTCATAAGGCTTCCTTCCTATCAGTTAAACATTAACATCACATACAATTAACACAGAGTTAGAATGCTGGTTTGAACAATTAATTAAAAAAAGATTACCCTTTTACCACACTATTAATTGGCTATCAGAAAATATAATATTCAGGTTTGTAACGTACAAAGCAAACAAATGGAATTTAATTTAAGAAAAACATTTTCATTTTATTTATATAATTGAGAAAAATAAAGCAATTCAAATCGATGATGATTGATGGATTGGACATATTCCTTAATAGTTTTTTAGTTAAAATAGGTTTATCATCCTTGTGGAGCAGCTGGAGATAATTTTAAGGTTATCTCCTTGCAGAGTGTGCATTTTGTTGTTTACTATTAATTTGTTTCTTGGTTTTCACCTAATTTTGAAACTATTTTGAAACTACAGTAGACTCCTTCTTATCCGGACACCTTTTAACCGGACATCGGTTTAACCGGACTACACTCGGCGGAAATGACATCTCTTTAACCGGACAATTTTTATCAGCACATTGGTTTAACCGGACTAGATTGGCAGGAAGTGGGCAGTACAAAAACGACTGTTCTCTTGGGAAAGATTTGAGACCAGTGATCACGTGTCTAAATACAATGCTCTCCTAAATTTAAGTCAAATATCACAGTAAACAGTCCGTTTTAACGAGTTTTTATGGACGTCGGTTTAATCGGAAAACCCGTTATCCGGACTGGCCTCTGTCCTGAGGAGTCCGGATAAGAGGGAGTCTACTGTATTACCAATATTATGAAATACGCCTAATACAGGCTTTACATTTTACAATAGGCCAAGAAGTCTCTGCAGCTTGCAAAGGCAATGGTAAAACTTAATAATTAATCATAAATCACAAATAAATCAAAAGTCAATATCTTAAAATCATCAAAAGTTTGGGTGTAAATCACAGCTACCGGTAATACTTTATAATAGTTTGTCATATGCAATGTATTTTACCTTTGTTACAGTCCACTACAAAATGAAAGAAAGCAATGTTGGCATCAATAACTATTTTAGTTTACTCACACTCCAGATATTTCTAGGTAGTGTTTATATGTTTGGGTTGTGGTGGTATAACGAGATTAATTTTATATTATTTAAATATAAATTAATCACCATATAAGGAATGTAATACATGAGGTGTTATTCACTTGGCTAGTAAATAGATTTTAGTAGCCAGTGAAGATATAGTATTGAGCTACACACTTTATTCAGATTTATTAACATGTTACAATTTATGTTTTATTTTTTACAATTTATTTTTTACATTCAACATCCATTTCTTATTTTTAATTTTTTTAAAGATGTTTAACCTTGCATGTGCCCGTCCATATAGACTACAGATCTGTGCGTGGAATGTATACAGCAAAGCAAAGGGTGAGCCGGTACAGTACAAAGGTGAACAGTAGGGTCTACTGATAAAATGTTTGCGGCAGTGACCAGGATACGAACCCATGACATCTCTGCCTTGGGCCCGAAGTCCTCCTTCCAACTTGTTTTCAATTTTGATAATGTAAATAAGTAACTGTTTAGTAAGGGGTTCAATAATTTAGTTTATTACAATTGTGTTTGTGTAGTGAACATTATACTACAGTATTGGTTATGTCAAACTATGAAAATAATGCAACAATTAGCTACAGCCAATGTAATCAATCGATACATAATTTCGATACATGCTATTGCTTACAATCAAAATTTACAACAGCTGACTTTTACTCCGTAGGGACTAAAACCGTTTTTCTCTCCTTAGGGACTAAAAGGCTTTTTACTTCCTAGGTTGTATAAGAACTACTTTAGACCCGCAACGCATGTATTAAAAACTGCCGTTTTTGCTGCCATTGATAAAAATTTACTTTTTCCCCAGAATTTTTTGTATGTGGCATAAAATATGCAACAGTTTACTATTAGTTTGTCCTTTTAATTTGAGTTGTCAAAAAAGTTGGTGTATTTGAATGAAATTACAAATTAACATTGCACTTTGTCAGTGACTCAAGCCAGCTTTGTTATTTTTATTCCAAAAATGATCATAACTTGAACATGGGAATGGAATGTATAGTTCTACCCATATACAAACCTACTTGGTCTGCTGTAATATCCTCAAGACCATGTATTGTGTGGTGTTATACCATGCAACATGTGTGGTGTTATGTTGCGGATCAGCTTGGGTACATTTCACATTTGCATATACCACTCCCAGCCTACTTGTAGGATTTGGACATCAGACTACGGACTAAAAGAGTTGTGTAATTACTAATTAGTGCTTTACTTTCATGGAATGATTCAAAATTGATTAAATCTATGAATCAATGTCACTGTAAAGCAAAATCAAATCATGGTCATTACAATAGTCACTATGGAGCTCCTTTGTCAAAAGCTATGTAAAAATATAAATTAAATTGTGTTTATTCATAAAGCTTGATTACATTGAGTATTACTCTACGTCATATTTAAATAAAAACTGGGTAGGGGCACATTGATTGTCATGAGTGATAAACCTGTCTTAAATAACAGCAATATCATCTTAAAATTAAACAACTTACATAAATATAATGAGCAATTTGTATAAAACAAAGTCTTGGTGATAAAAACCGTTAAATTAACTTACACAAATATTAATTACAATGCTTAACAAAATGTACATAATAAAATAATACATAACAGTACCCTAAAATATTGAGCAGGCTTGGGAGGACTTGAGAAATTTGTAGTATGGCAGATTTTGTACAACCTGGAAAATCACATTTCTCTTTTAAATTCATTCTTAAAATATCGAAGTATGAACATTATATAATACTAGGTGAAACCCGTCTAAATCGGCGGTTACTTTCAAGGCTTACGCTAATTCATCTAACTGCGATAAATTGAGTGAAATTATACATATTTTGAGCATTTAGCATTGTTTAAAGAGTAATAAGTGTAAAAACAATAATGATATTGATGTCATTAGTTACCAAATATGGTTGATCATTCAATGAATAAAATATTTCCCATACCTTACGTCATCAGAGTTATTATTAGTATCTATGTTATCTGGTATCTCTTCCTTTGGAAGAACCTTTAAATAGTATTAAAATCGTATTGGTGGGATGTTTTGTTGTTAAACACTTCCGTGATTTCATCAGTGTAATGCAGATTAATCTATGATTTTATTTGAAAAGAAATATCTGTTTGTTGTTCCAATAACCATTTATCAAAGTGTGTATCTATTAGAATATGATTGTATATCCTATCATATTCTCTAATACGAGCAATGTCTGTTTGTCTGTCTGTCTGTAATATATATCTCGAAATCCAGCGGAAGGATTTTGACTAAATTTTGGAATTAGGGACTTATAGCCCTAAAAAACGTGATTGGCGACAGCCACTACCTCAGGAAAATTTGTATCTTGCTTCACAACTTGTTTGAAAATGTTCAAATTTAACATTGGTTTTATGGGTTGCCAAGTAACTATGTTGGTTGAATAAAATAACAAGGAAAAAGTAAACAAAACACTTGTAGTATGTGTTTATAATACAAAAAGCTATCCACAGTATACTAGCAAATTACAAAATACTGTACAAAGGGAAAAACATCAGTTGTATTTTATTAAGCATAGAAACACTAACGATTTGATTGTTTGTGGATTTTCTAACTAAATGTATTTAAAAACTAGGGGAAGAATATGGTTGTAATTTTAGGAATAGGTAATTATGGATCCAACAAATTTGTTCGCAGGGAACTATGAATGTTGCTGAAAAAAACTAATTTGGTGGTCTTAGCAACAAATGGGGTTTTAGACCGGAAAGTTACAGGAGCAAAAATATATTTGATCATATCATTATAGCAATATTCCAAGTAAATTTGTATAAAACTATTACCGTATGCTAAAGCCCAATGATAAGAGACAGAATCTCAATTTCTTTGGAAGTAGTTGCCCAAAAGCGAAAAATCATTGTCACAAGTATTTGAAACTAAATACGATTTTGTTTGTACTGTATCATACTTTTATCTGCTGTCAGTGGTGAGCATAACAGTTGAACAACAGGTTTCAATGAATAGGGGGAAAATATTATGTGTGAGTAGCACTTAAACTTAGTCAAGATCATAAAAGTGTATCTTATTTTTGTTTAACATCGCATATTTTTAAAGAGTACAACTTTACAGAGTTGTAAATTATAGATGATTTGTAATAATAGGTTTTTTGTAAATTATAAAATGAGTCTGTTTACGATATTGTTAGAAGTGTTAAAACTAGCAAGATTGCAGAACAGCTGTATGTCGTTTTTTGTGTATGAAATTATAACCTTAACACTTGGAAAAATTAATAATTATTTGGGTGCATCAACCTTATTTTAAAATCCTAACCAAACTAAAACAGCTTCTAACATTAAAAAATGTCTGTCTTAGCGAAATAGATCAATAACATAAAATGATAATAGTAAATTGTAAAGATATTCAGAAATTTATATTGTACTTTGTACACATAATGTATAGTCCGCTTTCTTTTTCAACCTTACCAAAAAATCATGTAGTTGCATTAGAAGAAAGCAGGGTCAAAGCATCAGAGAGGCTTTTAGCATTGGTCCGCACCAGGAAGCTGAGATGACAATAGTCACTGCTACTCAGGTTTGTAGGTCTTTGGACTGCAAGAGACTGTAGTATGTTGGCTCTCTCTAGGTCTAGCCAACGCTGCAGACAAGCCTGTGCAAAATGTAGGTCTTTGAATAACAATCTAACAGTACAATCAGTGACTGCACACTGGCAATATTAGGAGTACATTTTAAGTCTTCAAATGTTTTTATTGAGCTATGCTAGACTAGTCTAAGTTGTAGATGAAAGTTTTTTTTTTTTTTTTTTTTTTTTGACGACCTGAGATAGATTTATAATAGATAACTGAAGGGCATATTATAACATATTGTACATGTCATTAGTATTGGTATACAATTTTTATGAACTTTTATAGAATCAACAAAGTTAAGTTGAATTTTACAACATGACTGATGTCAATTTGATTAGACTTGAGTTTATTTATACAGTAGAGTCCCACAAACTCGGCGTAATGTGGACTGGAAGGGTGCCGAGTTTGTGAAATGCCGGGTTATCGGGAACTAGGGTTAAAAATAAGGACAATACAATTTTTATTCCTTTTAGCTGCCTTATTTATTTACATTTATTTTACAAGTAGGTATTAAGTCATCAGATATAGTACAACAAATCCTTGGTACAAGTTGCAAATGCTTTTACTTGAGCCCATGTTTAACTCAGACTCAAAAAATCACTAATTTTCTGAGCCAGGTGATGGCCGAGTTATCCAGCCTGCCGGGTTATCGAGTGCCGAGTTTGCGGGACTCTACTGTATTGCAGATTTCTTTGAAACAATTATTGGAAATCATGAATATATTAGTGTCTAACCTGTTCATCAGAAGTTTGTGGCAAGTGTGTGGGTCCCCATAGCCACATCTCTAGAGCACTCTGGGCTCTGGCGAGAGATGGCGTCTGGTTGTCACTTAGCACTGAGTGTACAATGCTGGTAAGTGCCTCTGGCAGAGATATGAGGCTCAGAGCACGCAGCGCACACTGACACAGCGACATGTTGTCTGAACCCTGCAACATAGACACTTCACCATGCTTCACCTGTTGAACTATAATAAAACAAACATTAGGGATGTGTTGATTCTCGATACAGATTCTTGAACATTGGTATAGGAAAAATTCACACTTTGTGGATGACAACGATAATGTTTCCTTGACCATGTGATATAATGATATTTCCACATCACTGCGGTAGAAGATCAGAATTTTACCACAAACACGGAAAAGATTATAATGTCTACATCACCTCGGGAGATGTTTATAATTTCACCGCGGTTGTGGGAGACAAAAGTGATGTTTCCGTTACCACGTTGGATGATCAGTATTTTGCTGTAACCACGGGAGACGGCGAAAATGTCTACACAGCCGTGGAAGGTGATCAGAACTTTGCCTTTGAAGACGATGATGTTGTTTTCTATGACCACATAGGGAATACTAAGGATTTTGCCGCTTCCGCAGGAGAGAATGGTGATGTTTCATTTACTGTGGGGGATATTCAGAATGTTGCCACAAACGCAGAAGACGATGATGATGAATCCACGACTGCGGGTGATACTCTGGGTTTTGCTACAATCAGGCAAGATTATGTGATCAATGGAGATCGCTGATATTTTGCTGCCATCGTGGGAAAGGATGATGATGTTTCCATTTTAAATTTGAATTGGATAGTTAGAATTTTTCAAGGCTACTTCATTTTTTAATTTATTTCAAAAACATCCCACTACCCTAAAATTACTTTGTTTGAAGACATAAAGATAGGTGTTGGTCTAGCATAACCAATCTATATAGAAAATTCTGTTAAATAAAAAAAAATTCTATTTTTATTGAAAATAGGTGTTTTAGGTATCGGTAACAAGAATCAATCAATTGTGGTAAAATATTTGTATTTGTTTATAATTCTTAAACTGCAACTGTTGTCTACGGTACCAGAGTTACTCATTACTATAGCTTGACTTATCTCTCTCATCAGCGATTACCCAAACTTTTCAATCTATGTTATAGGTTGCACAGACCAAATTTTAACTGAATTTATTCCTGACAGTACCATGAGTAGAACCAGACTGACTTTTGGGGACAGTATAGCCTTACTGGTTATTGTAAACTGACTGACTCACTTTGTCCTTGTGCTGAGGTAGCAGAAAGACTCGTGGAGCAGCTTGTTGGTCTTCCCTGCACACTATCAGGTGACCTAGACTGGCCTCTGTGTGACCTTGGGCCTGCAGAGTTCTGAGGCAAGAGACTACCTGCAGCATCACCAGTGCTGCCAACCTCACTCCCCCCGTAGCAGTCAGCTGCGATGCCAGGCTCGCGACTGTCAGGAACTCCTGCCTAACTAGCACTGCCACTGACACTACAAAACAGGATTAGATTAGATCCATGCAACGTCAGGCAAGATGAGTGAAGGATACATGTTGAATGAGTGAGAGGACAGCATTGATTGATTCTGAATAAAATCAGCTAGTTCTACAGCCAGGACTAGCAATTAAAATCCCAATTTTATCAGGGATAGCTAGTTTCAGTTTCGCACCTTCTAAAAGCCACCAATACCGACTTTTCTCTGGATTGAACAACCAGCAATAAAATTTACTGCATCCACTCCGTTACCCACAATAATGCAACGTTTCTTAATCATTTTCAATTTGTCATTGTAGTAATATTCATATACGAACTCACTCAATTTTATGAAACAGGTATTACTTGACAACTTCAATTTCTTTACAAATTATTGTTAGTTAGGTACTAATAATTGAACTATTGCTAATTATTTGGATATACCTTAATACTTTTCAATAAAATGGTGACCATACAAAGTAGTTATTTTAAGCCAAGTATGAATGGAGATGAGTGTTGGATGAGTGGCGCGATCTTGTAGTCTTGTTAGTGACTAAGGCCGACATATTCCTTAGACACAGCTGTTAATTAATAGTCCATGCAGCTATAATGGCAACTAAGGGACCTATAGTTTATGGTGGAATCCGAACCACATTTTTGTCGTGGTATATACGAATTGGTCTAATTATCAGGATATAGTACTGCAGATAGTCGTAGTACTCACTTGTGTGGACATTTATCCACACCAGAGAGTATCGCACCCACATTGCATGCCTATATATATCCACAATTCGTGACCTCCTAGTAGCTGGAGTACAGGACGACGCCACCCGTCCCAGTCTATGGTTAATTTGATCTACCTAAAGGGCTTCCATTTATTTAGAACTCTGAAACAAACCTTCAACTGTTATGACTTTTTTGGTAATCATAGTTTTAGGCCGGGGTTTTTAAAGATTTTGTAATGTGTATAGGTTTAACAGCAAAAGCGTTCCTTTCTGACAAAATATATGAAAATGCAAAAAGAAATACATAGAACTTTTATATTCTTGTAGATTGTGAAAGGAGGAAGATGAATATGATGTTTTGTTTTGGTTTGTGGTCAATATCACTAAAGCACTAATGAAACATACAATACAAATTGATCTACATCCACAAAAAGCCTGCTATTTTGGGATAGTATTATTATCATTTGGGGGTTTGAAGGAGCTGTAAGAAGAAGTTGAAGGAGCTGAAGAATCCTCTTAAAGTTATATTGTTTCTTTGAAAACTGTGGTTATTTGGTAGCGATTACTCTCTTGTGGGTGGAGGCTTGAAGCATTTTGTAGCCTTCTGTAAACATTTTGTTGACAGACTGTAGCCATGGTGGTAACAGTTAACCATTGGTATACAATCAACTTATTATAGTATATGGTGGTGACCATATTTTATTTTCATACTGCCATTTCTAAGAGAAAAGCAGAATATGGTGGTTAAAAGTAGGTATTCTCCATAAGCATATTCATCGTATGGAAAAGCGTCAAATAAAGGTAATCAACATTGTATGAAATAAGGTTTCAATTTACTAAAGAGAAGATTTGTTGACATAAACATATACCTTGAACTAGTTCAGTTTTGTCCTGGCGGAGGTATTGGCTGGCGACCACGTCAAAGAACTGTGTTATCGGGTGTAGATGTGGAGGCAGATGTGACTGTCCTGAGGTGAGACACAGAGACACGGGAGTCTGTTCCCACGTTGCAGGCAGAAACACACGACCACCCACCACCTCCCCCGCTCCACCCTCCACAGTGAAGTCCGTCCATTGTAGAGTGGAGCAACCCTTCATAGCCCTAAGTGTAGGTGGTACCAGTGGAGCCTGACCTACCTGCGACACAAGAAAATAGAACCATAGTAACAACACCGAGGAAGGAGACAACATTTTGACAGCAGCACACCGTTGACAATAAAGTGGTCGGTACAATCATGTACATTATCAAAATAATATTAATATGCTTCTAGCGCGACAATAAAAAAGTGCTTACTGCTAAGGTGATAATGTTTGTAAACATACTTATGTAATAATGCGCAAATTGTACTTTAGTATCTAAAAACCTATGATACAGCATATTTAGTTTAGATAACCTATTTTAAGCAAATTTAGGAAATAACCTATTACTGAAGGCCTAAAGGGTAAGACCTAGACCGGGAACCAATTTAATTTTTGTTTTGATGTTACCAGAGGCCAAAAACACCATCCGTTCAAATTCATATATATGTGTCCGTTAGCTCGATAACTCAAATAAAAATCAAGAAGTTATTTAAATAAAAATCTTCCAATTTTTATGAAATTAACAAAACCTGTAAACCTACTATAGTAATTATTTTTGCTACCTACTTTTATTTAATATGTTTATGAGTGAATAAAGAATTTTAATTGAAACAAGTTTGCAAACCATCAAGATTAGACTATGGGAACAGGATTTAATGGTGGATTTTCCTCCCTCGATAAAATTTTGCAATTTCTTTCTAAACCATTTTGTAGAGTAAAAAAAAACCAAGTAATTCAGTATAGTGAAGCCTTGTTAAACAGTTATGAAAAACATACAAAATTTAAATTTTAGAGTTTCAAGCTTTTGGCCTACATACTATGGAAAATAAATAAATTATTGTAGTTTTTGCTTCTTTATGGAAATAGTTTGATGTAATTTAGCATACCCTATTTGTTTAATTCATATTATTATCAACATTTCTAAAAAAATCCCTTTTACCTTCCTTGTTACAGCAAACCTAAGTACTCATTAGGATGAATGTTATTTAAATAGGAAATAGATCTGACTATTTTAGGGAATATTATTGTGCAAATATAACCAGATAAATGGAAATCTGCTTAGTCTACAGATTTGCTGTAGTGGGGTATTTTATCATATCCCTTAAAACAAAACTCTGAATGTAAATATCTATCAAAATCACACCTTCAGTGCCAAATAAAGGAAATCAAAGTTTATAATTCTTTAAATTTTTTCTCAACTAACATCTCACATACTAATATTTCAATAATGATTTGACTTATAGGCCTATTTATTTAACACACTAGAAAAATATTTATTTAGTAGATTAAAATAAATCACAATTTTCCTAATTTATCTGCGCTGGTTAGAGATTTTAAAGTTTTATTTAATACAATTTCAACTTTAATCTTCCAACTTTGAGTTCCACATAAGGACAACATACTTTATACAGAGATATTTTACAGTCATAGACATTTGTTAAAGCTGAGCTATGTTCCTTACTTGTTCTAACAACTGAGACAAAGCCTCATGATTGGTTACAGTGACAGCGCTGTAGTTGTCCTCCAGGTTCTTGTGAATAACACATTGACTCTTGCCTCTCAGCTCCTCTGCCTTCTATACACACAGGAAAATACAAGATCAATTACAGGAACAACAAATAAATAAAAGGTTAAAATACCTGCTTGTCGCCTTGTGGTCCAAGTGTTGTCCTAGTGGATTATGTACATTTCGGCGCGAGCGCCATCGTCGGATCCATATAAGAACTGTTTACACTAAACTTCCCTGAAGAGGTGCGTTAGATGATCACAACACAAAACACATATAAAAACCGGTCGACCGTTAATTAACATTTTTTAACTCTTGCTACGCGTGCACGGGCAGGATATGGAGGCGCGCCAGACGTGTGTCGAGACTCGACTGAAGACGGTAGTTGGTCGTGATCTGACCTGAACGATGGTTTTCTTAGGAAGATGTTCTTTAAACCTCTTTACAAAGGGCCTTCCAGTTTGGCCAATGTAAAACTTATCACAGTCATTACAGGTTATTTTATAAACTCCTGTTTTTTGACAAAAATCCTGTGGTGTATTTTTTACAGAAAGGAGATTTTGGAGTTTGTTCGATGTTTTGAAGGCTACAATTTTACCATGCTTTTTCATCTGGTTTTTCAGTGTATGGGAGAGGTTGGTTCCAAATTCAACTGATACATACTCCATTCGCTCTTTATTGTTATCAGTGCTAGTAATGGCTTTTTTCTTGATTATTTGTTTATTGGTTAAACTATCGATCAATTTAGGGCTGTATCCATTTGAGACGGCGATGTATTTAATTATGTTTATCTCTTTTTCATAATCATCGGGGTTTAGGGGGACGGTGAGCATTCTATGAATGAAACTATTGTATGCTGCTATCTTGTGTTGGAAGGGGTGATGGGAAGTTTCATGAATGGTGGTATCAGTGGCTGTAGGTTTCCTGTTGATGCTGAATACAATCTTATCTTTTGTTTTTGTTAGTGTTAGGTCTAAGAAGTTGAGTTTTTCGTTTTCTTCAAATTCTATTGTAAATTTTAGCTGTGGATGAATGTTGTTTAAATAATTATTAAAAAGCTGGATTTGTCTATTGTTGCCATTATACATGATGATGATATCGTCAACATATCTATGGTAGAAAATGATACGGTCTTTGTATTTGTTGGTATTGTCTGTCCATAAATGCTGATTCTCCATTTCATTGAGGAATATTTCTGCTAATATTCCTGATAAAGGTGACCCCATGGCGAGCCCTTCTTTCTGTGTAAAATATTCATTATTAAAACTGAAATAATTTTGTTGGAGTACTGTTCTCAGTAAAAGCATCAATTCATTTATTTCAACTTGGTTCAAATTAGAATTTTCGGTCAGATTTTTCTGTAGTATTTTTAAAGTTTCTAGGACGGGTACATTAGTATATAGGTTGGAAATATCTAAAGAGGCAAGAGTGTGTCTGTCACATACACTGAAAAACCAGATGAAAAAGCATGGTAAAATTGTAGCCTTCAAAACATCGAACAAACTCCAAAATCTCCTTTCTGTAAAAAATACACCACAGGATTTTTGTCAAAAAACAGGAGTTTATAAAATAACCTGTAATGACTGTGATAAGTTTTACATTGGCCAAACTGGAAGGCCCTTTGTAAAGAGGTTTAAAGAACATCTTCCTAAGAAAACCATCGTTCAAAAATCAAATTTCGCCGACCATTTGGTAGCCAGTAACCATAGTTATACTGATATAACAACAAATTTGCAGCCTTTACATATTTGCCAAAAAGGCCGAACAATGACGGCATTGGAACAATTCGAAATTTACAGAGCCTCTAAAATTGAAACAAACAACCTGTTAAACGACAAAAACACCCTGCAATCCAACATTCTCTTTGAAACCTTAATACAAATGAATAATAGCCGAAACAATGCTGCACTAGCTACGTCACCAGGACAAAGGTCAGATCACGACCAACTACCGTCTTCAGTCGAGTCTCGACACACGTCTGGCGCGCCTCCATATCCTGCCCGTGCACGCGTAGCAAGAGTTAAAAAATGTTAATTAACGGTCGACCGGTTTTTATATGTGTTTTGTGTTGTGATCATCTAACGCACCTTTTCAGGGAAGTTTAGTGTAAACAGTTCTTATATGGATCCGACGATGGCGCTCGCGCCGAAATGTACATAATCCACTAGGACAACACTTGGACCACAAGGCGACAAGCAGGTATTTTAACCTTTTATTTATTTGTCAATCATTTGGTCCGGAAACACCACAACAAAATATGAAGTACAGGAACAATTCCCCTGTCTATATTCACAGTAGTGTCTTTTCTCCAGATAAACTCAGCGGTCTTCTATGTAGGAGGCAAGCTTTAGCACTCAGCTACCAGATAAGAGCCACTAAGGGGAAAACTTTAAAGACTGGATTTAAGTCATTGATATCAATGTGCATTGTGTAAGTTAGAGGCAGCAGCAATTGTTCAAAAAGTATGTCAGCTATCCAGGTCAGGTATGTGTAAGGTTCCTGAGAAATTCCTGGATAAGGCAAAATGAAATGGTGGAAAACATCCATCCTCTTTTCAACTTTGCAAGAAGACTAAGGTTATTTGAATAAAGAGAAGATTTAGGACAATAGACCCTCTCAGGTTGATTGACAACCTGGAGATGAAGGCAGCCTCTAGAATGTCTTTGTTCCTAGTAACTATGTACCTATGACAAGGGATACATAATTTTTCCCTGTATGTACCTTGGAGCTGTTAGCAAAAGTGTACGGGCAGTATATATCGGACTCAGTCTCACTCCCGTAGTAAGGTAGCGACGTCCGATCTCTGTTCAGATCACACTCTGGCACCACACTCTCATACAGGTTCTCAGACATCTGAAAATAAAGTTTAATTATTGACTGAGAAGTGGTTTAAACTTTTATGTTCTGATTTTCTTGTAACTGTCACTAATTTGGGAGAAAATATTTTTTTCAATAGATAAGGATTAACTTAAGCCTCACTGAAGGATAAACAATGACATGTTAGTAAAATTAAATTGGCTGTGCTAAATGAAATGTAGGTATAAATTTGCACTATGTTTTTTACTCAAACTAACCTGTAACGTAGAAGTGGACTGATAGGTAGAGTCCAGATTGTCCTTATCTTTCTCACGAAGGCTTGCTGTCCTTTGAGGTTTAGCTGGAGCAACCGTGGATCTTAATTCACCTGAAAAATTTAAGAAAATGAAAAATCTGAATTTTAATTTGAACTAATATACAATCTGAATTTTAATTTGAATTAATATACAATTCTATCTCTAAATTACTAAGAATCATTGATTTGTAAATTTAAATTAATATGATGAGTGTAAAATGGATTTCGATGATCTATGTGGTTAATTAACCGACTAAGATTAGCTGTAATCAATTTATAAAAACCCAATGATCAAGGATAGCTGAGTCCAGTTTCAAATCATTATCATTAATTTGTAAATTAAAATAATGATGATGAATTTGAATGAGTTTCGATGATCTGTGTGGTTATGTAACCGACTAAGATTAGCTGTAATCAATTTATAAAAACCTAATGATCAAGGATAGCTAGGTCCAGTTTCGAATCATTAATTTGTAAATTAAAATTATGATGATGAATTTGAATGAGTTTCGATGATCTTTCAAGTTTTGTTATGGTACTGACTAAGATTAGTTATAATGTAAAACCAATTATTAATAAAAACCCAATGATCAAGTACAGCTGGATCCAATTTAGAGGTATAATTTTATTTTTATATTTACCCAAGTTGACATATACTGAAGTAGAAGGAGGAGGAGGGCGAGCTGGTCGAGTGTCTCCGATGTTAGAGTCAAGCGAGTGGCTGCGAGGGGGAGGGGGCGGCTTGCTGGGGCGACCTGACAACACATACACATCAGCTCACATAGCAGGTAACTTGCGCTAGAGAAGAGTTTCAGGCAATTGATAGCACACACAAATCTTCACAAAAATATTACATCCTTACAAATAGTAGTCCTACTACTTCCTTCTGAAGAAGTCCCGTTGCTAACATTTATGATGTCAACATCCCATTTACAGCGAAGTTACAGAGTATTTCTGGTGTAGTTTGTGGAGTGTTTACACATTTTCTACATCTAGACACTTTCCTGCAACTCACCTGTCAACTAGCAACCGATTTCAATAGCGTTACCTACAGAACCGAATCACATAACACTGGTCAGTATTCGACATGTCCAGTCACCTGTTTCCAGACATGCATTTTGTCAAGCAGTTTTGCGATAGCACGGCCTCATGTGATTGGTCAGTTTTTCAAATATCGAAGAGTGGGAGAGACACTATGATATTTGTAATGACAAAATCCATTTCCGCAACTCCCGTGTACTCGCGGTTAATTACATTACGCATTTCTAACACGTGGTCTCTTTACCAGTGTTTTATAATATACTCTCATTTGTGCTTTATTCAGTGTCCATCTGACAAGTGTTTTTCATCCAGTTCACTGCATTATTCTCAATTTAAATACCTCAAGACGCCAGTTTTTTATAACCTATTTCTCACTTTCCATGTCTGTAATTTCAAGTATTTTCAAGAAACATCAAGCTCCAGTTTAAAGTCTTAAATCATTTTTACTTTAAAGTTCCATTTTGCTAATTTTAAGATTTATTATTTCTGTGCAAGGCATAAAGAAGAATGCCAAGTGTAAATTATTTTCATTTTTAATTCATATACCACTAGAAGAAAGTGATAAAACCTCAAGAGGAAGTGATTTTAATTTTAATACTAGAGAATTTTTTTACTCTCTAATGCTTAACAAAATTATCTACATCAACTCTGTACATCATCATCTCTACATGCGACCAACATCATCTCATCGTCCCCTACAGAAGGCGCCTTCTCTCCCAGCAGAGAGGTCCTAACTCCCCTATCCTGCCATCTCTCTCATCAACAGGATCTTCACACTTCTACGGCTGCAGTTCTTCAGTTTCAATAACGCCCACCCTCAGTAAAATTGGAAATCAGGTACTCTCAGCGTTTCATTTTGCTACATTTTATTCATGTCACAATTGTGCTTTAAATGTTTGTTTCCTTTACAAGACTTTCAGCTTTTAATATCTTTGAAAGATCCTAATTCCGGCATTTATGCTGTAGTAGTCAAGCGCTGTACAGTTAACATAGCCCGCATCTTACAACCATTCAAAGTTTAAGATGGTCTCTTCTCTTATAACTTGGAAGTACGTAAAGTACCGTTCAAACAAGATTCATACTTTGGCTGAAGTGTCGATTTTCCCTCACATTGTTTTTGGCTACTGTGATGAGCCTAATCGTGACAGAGCGGTTGGGACTGGCTATAATAATATTAATAAAGTAAATAAGTTAAAGGTCTCAGATTTAAACTAGCTTACTTGGCTGCGAAAGGAGCTTAATACACGAAGAGCCCTTGTATTATACCAGTAGTAATTGACGTGTCTCCTTTTCTTTTGTTTTTAACTTGTGATCAATCTTTAAAACAATTATAGAAGGTTAATCCAAACTATATAGAGTAGAATAACAATTATATTACTAACCATGAAAGCCCGGCGATACAGGAGATGTTGGCGATGATGGAGACTCAGAAGAACTGCTCGATTTCTAAAATTTAAAATATCTATTTCAATTACCAATAATAACAGTATGGTAGCTATAGTCTGTTCACAAAATTTAGATGGTTTAAGGGGAAGGTTTCCTGGGTTCTTCTTTGATCAGCTGTCAGGTATTATTCCTATGTTAGGGTGAGGTGGTGTGGGGATGGAATCACTTCCCCTCAAACCGCCTACAGTTTGTAAATGGAATGTAGTGCGGTATACATATAATAGGGAAAAAATTTATTAATTTTCATTTTTCATATCAACCTTTTCACTGTGTTCAGCTTCTTTGTTTATTCTAAACTCATATTTTTTGTTAAAAGTTTGTTAAACCTATAAGCCTCTGCAACAGCACAAATTTATTTAAAATGGACATTAACACGTTGATTGCGCGTGCCGACTATACAGGCGCTCCCCAGTGGCGGGCGAAGCCCCGGCGCGCAACCGAATCAGCGAACACAATTGGCATTCAAATATTTCAGTCTGACGAATCACAAAAGAGCAGTGGTGGGGTGCTGCGTTACCCCGAGAGTGGATGTAGTTCACTGAAACACCCAAAGGTAGCAGCACTGCACGGATCCGTATCCAGTGTCTTTGTAATGTGGGTTGAAGAGAAAAAATCCCCGAAACCGGGACAAAAGCATTGCCAGACAGGATTTTACGGGAAATTTTAGTACCAACCCACACCAAAGTAAAGCTCGCATTCTAAGCTGGCAGGCTGGCAACGATTATAACGTCTCCGTCTGAGGCTAAGCTCACACTGACTCAATATATTTCTGTTGGTCTGGTGCCGACTTTTGTCGGCGCGCGCCACCTGGGAGCGCTGGCGACGCCGACTGACGCCGACTAATGTCGGCGCGCGCAGTCAATGTGTTAATGAATAATAATTCTTTATTATTCTCTTGTAAATCCTCAGTTAACAGCATGACATAGTTAACAAACAATGTAAATCTTGATTAACAGCGTAATGGTATTCTCAATGTATTACTCTGCATTGCCATCACACCAGCTGCATATTTTAAGGTAATAATGAAAGTTGAATTAATGAAATGATAGCTTTGTTATTGAAAGGGATTAGTTCTTCATTAACCAGACAATTTTGTTAAAGTCCAAAGATCAAGTTAAGTTAAAGCCAACTTATGCATATAATGTAAACTATATGCATACCCTGTTAGGAGGCACCACACTGCCATCTCCTCGTAGGACCTGGACCCCAGACTTGTTGAGGTCGAGGGGGTGGATGATCTCAAGGCGAGGTCGTGGCGGAGGTACAGGGGGGGTCAATACCTCCACCTCATCACGACTTGCCAAACGGAGGATCTTGCGAAGTGTTGAACGCATCTTGTTCGACTTCTTTTTATCAAAAACTGAAATAATCCAACAAGTTTGAGAATATAATATTTCACTTAAAAATCATAGCTTTAGGGTTTTATAAGTGGGTTGTAAAGACACACAAAAATAAAAATATGGAATACCTGAGTTGGTTGGGGGACAGAACTTTTTACTTTAAATACATGATCATATTAATGAACATTAATAGAGAAATGAGTCTCTTAGTTTAAAAAACCTTAATTCAAACAAAAAATTCGAGGATACCTTAAGTGCCTAAAATCATGTGTTATAAAGATATAGAAAATAGGGATTAAATGGATCTTCATTTACCTAAAAGTGTTAAAAGTGTACAAAAAGTGTTTGCTTCTTACCCTCGGAAGTGCTTTTAACTTGGCCAACTGTGCTAAAAAAATTGGTCAACAAGCTTTAAAATAAAATGAGTTTACTTTTTTAGATGAAAATGCCGAACATTTATCACACAATAAGTGCTCTTATGTAAGTGCTCTCATGATAATCTACGGCCACACGGGCATTATTTTCACTCACAAATGCAGCGAGAAAAGATTTAAAAAAATATGAGCAGCTTTAAATATAATGGGTAATGCCATACACACAGTGTGTGCTGCTAAAATTTTTCGTGTGTTTTCACACAGTGTTTGTGCGTTGTTAAAGTTTGTCTGTGTATTGTTTGAGTTTTGTTAACAAGTTTTAACACCAGTCGAATTTGCTAAGAGAGAATAATTAACATTTTTGTGGATATGTCGGGTATTTTAGGCTGACCTGGTAGAGGTGCAGAGTTTGAGAGAGTTTCATGACTGAGAGACATGCTGCGTCGGGCCTCATGCTCAGGTGTCTGTGAGCCATCATTGGGCAGAGGACTGCAGCTGGCGGCTCTTTGTCTTCCAGGAGGACTCGGCTCTGGCGTAGTCATCTCACCCTACAGCAATAGGGCAAATGCTAACTAATAACAATTATAGTGAAAAGAATGATAGAGTGAAAATTTAAAAACGTACGTTTTCATGTCCCTGGCCTTTTACTTCGTAGATACTGGATTTGTAGTTTATTATTATGTGTTTTAATATTTTTTGGGACGGGGGCAACATGTTACACACATTTATTTGGTTTTAAATAGGTTCTAGGTATTTTTTTCGTATTTTTAAAGTCTCAAAATTCACGACCATGACGTGTCCCTAGGGTACATTTTCCAACTTTCACGCTGTTTTTAGACTAATTATTCATGCCGAAATATATAAAGCCATATTTTTATGTCATCAATGGTTATTAAACTTACAAAAAAGGAGCATATTATAATTTTATTGTCATTGCAGACTGACTACCACGACAAAATAAGTCTGTCCCTCAATTTGGCGTCACGACCATTTGGCAAAAATTTTCAACTTTGGAGCACGACAGTGGCAAGCCTGGCGTCGATGGAGTCAGTTGGTTTTAGAGACTAGTTCGGGGTGTACGTCAGGATTGTAGTGCCGGTCGTTTTGAGTTGAAAGGAGGAATTACAAGATTAATAAAGGAAAGAATGTGTGTTTTGTAATTTTGGTGTGTCCATGACCGTACGTAGTCATTCGATGAAGTAGACATGGTGTTAATTTTTGTTTATAAGATATTTCAATTGCTAGATTAACCTAGAAGTCCACTTTGTATCCTCGAACATGAGGTGCAGGGCTACCGCCAGAACAGAGCCAAATAACACGTAATTTCACGACCAAAGTTTCACGACCATCGCGGTTTTTTTCACGACCAATCCAGCCTTATGGATTATAGTGTGTTTGGTCGTGACAATAACTTAAATATAATTGTAATTTGAACAGTTTAGTTCAATTGAAACACTTATTTTTATTATAACTAACAGTATAATTGAAGGATTGTTTAGAAAGATTTAGATTATTTCAGAAAATTCACGACCGTACCGCTTGTCCCTGACCATCACGTTTATGATTTCTATCATAAAAATTTCAAAAATTAAAATATCGTCATATTCCAATGTTTTATACACAAAAGAAGCACACCTCTGTACAAACATAACGATTTTTCGGGTCTCAGGTAAGTTTTTTCGGAGTTATACAAACTTAGAAAGATTTTATTGGCTTTTTTTCAACTTTTTGAGTTTTTTTATTTTTTTCTAGAAAGACCATATATACTAAAAGCTCAGTGACCTTTTTATCGTATAATGGTCATAAAAGTAAGTTTGTTTATAGCAAAACATAGTTATAAAAATAATATTAACTATTTTTAATATTCATTTAAACGTCTGTTATGGTCGTGACAAGATTTTGTGTTTTTCCACTAAAGATGCTCTTTTTTTAAAAAAATACCAGAGATATTGCGTTACCATGGACATTTTATGAAACTTCAAATGTTAATGAAATAAAAATAATAATAAAAGTTTTGAAAAAATGGGAAAAAAATTTGCAAAGTGCTTTTCCTGAAAACGTACGTTTTTAAATTTTCACTCGATAATGAATTTTAATAAACCTTATTGATTTAAAATTGTGTTGAATTGAAAAGGGAAGTATAACAGAGTTCTGTTAATCCAAACCAATTGTTGGGAAGCAAAAGGTAAAACTGGCTTCAAAGTAAAAAAAAAAAAAAAACTTGTGTTTTGATATACAAACTGTGTCTATTCAATGGGGGACCAAAGAAAATCAAGAATAGTGTTTTTTAAGAAGTGTTTGTTTGTACAAGTTTTTTATACTCCACAAGCATTCCAAGCTCACAAGCATTCAGCAGATTTCTTAGGCAATCAATAACTGAGGGGGTGAACTCGGAAAAAAGACTCTCTAGAGGCACTTGTTGAGTAACTGCCTTTTTCTGTATTTTGTGGGTGTCACGGTTACCCTCACAAAAAAAGCTATTTTTAAATGGGTCAAGGCTCTTTAATAATCCACCATTTTCAGTATCAAGGTATTCATATTGTCCAATTCCAGATTAGGGATGTTTAATTAGTACCTTTGGAGGACTCTCCCCGAGGGGAGGTTGTGGAGCCTGGCGCTTGGTGATGAGACTATGCCTCGAAGCAGGGGAGAGGTTGGGATCCTGATGTCCACCTTCATCCAGGGCCTGCAAAGACAACATGTAGTGTTACATAACAGAATGTATTTCACTTGGCAGATTAAAATTTATTTTCAGTGACACTAACAAACTTATTAAGTCTTAATATCAGGGTTGTGTCTGAAATTGTTCATTACAATGTGTAAAATGGATAAGATTACACAGTTTTTCATGTTTTAAAACTTGATAATAGCAACAAAAACTAAAAACATATATATAGATAATATAGGAAATTAATTTTCAAAGTTATATAACGATAGTCAAATCTTATAGCTTACCAAATCTTTTGGTGGGCTCTTGTCCCTCATCTTGGGTTTTGTTGGAAGTTTTGGTTTATCTTTGGTGAGGTTGTGTAGGAAGGATGGTCGAGGTAGGGGATCCGTCAGGAGGGGGGGAGGAGTAGTAGGTAGCTCTGGGGGAGGTTCATCAGTGTCATCAGAGTCAGCTCTGCCATCAGGTTCTCCTGCCATTTCTCTACTCTCAGCAGGCACTCCATCTATCAGCAGAACTTCATCCTTGACAAGAGGTGATGGGTTGTCGTCAAATAGGCTACCATCTACTTTCATTTGCTTTGGTTCATTCTCTTTCCCATCTCCTTGGCTGATGGAACTCGTGTTTGTTTCAATACAATCTAGTGATTTCATTCTTGTCAACTGTAAATCAGATTGTATACCGAATTCCTTCTTCAAGAGTTTACTGCTAAAGAGACCGTTAGCGATATTTTTTACATTATTATGTTGAAAGCTTGATTTTAACTTTATTGTATCTTTTGCTTTGCTAAAAGTACTGTTGTTAGATTTCAGGTCACTTCCTAATTTTTTATAAATGCTTTCTGAGATTGCAATTTCATCGTCAGGGCTATCTGGCCCGATCTGATAATATCTCTTAGTCTTTACTTGCTCATGAGATTTGGTTAAAGTTGTACCTCTTGTAATATGACTGCGCTTTCCTTCTATCAAAGAACTTAATCTAGTTTCAGCACTTCGTTCAGTCTTATTTATACTGTCCTCAATCTTGCTGTCCACTAAACTATCTGCTATATGTACACTATCCTCACAGTTGAGCTTACTATCAACAAATATATTATTTACATGTGGAATTTCAGGCAAAGATATACTACATTTTACGCTTGGAGAGCCAACATCGTCATACAACATTTCAGTCTTAATACTATTGGTTTCTGACTTGAGTTTTGGAAGGGCAGCATTTGCACTTGGATTGGACAAGTTAAGAGAGTCTGTGGCATCATGAAGAAGATTATTTAAATGAGTTTTTCGACTCACAGCCAAGGGTGTTGATGTTGCCGTGGACCCAAAAGGTTGAACTGAAACTAAAAGTGTTTGCTTCTTACCGTCGGAAGTACTTTTAACTTGGCCAAGTTTCAAAGAGGTGGCTGTTTGTTTTTTAGTTTTTTCCTCTTCTTTTGTCGGCCCATTGAGAAGGTTAGCTGGATCCTTATTAAATTCAGTGTTAGATTCTGTAAGTTCTTGGAATTTTTTATACTCTTCTTCATCTGCTGGATTTTCTTCATACGCCCCATTTTCATTAGGACTTGGTAATTCTTCTTCTTCATAATCGGATAACTCATCACCTCCATAGCCGATGATTTGAGATTCCTCATTAGGAAAATGCACTTTAAATGCGGAAACATTCTTCCTTATGACTCCTTTCAAAATACCCTGAAACAAAACACATAAAATTAAATACAAAGAATGTTACTGCAATCAGCAGTGTTCTCCACCTAAGTATTTTCCATTCATGAGGAAAGAGGGGGGAGGGGGTTAGCAGTCCATTCATTACCTACTCTACTTAAGGGAGGAGGGGTCATTATCTTAACTTACCTTATAAAATCGTGTTAAACCTTGTTAAAATTGAACATAACTAAAACAGACAAAAAACAATGTAATCCATCAAATTCAAATATTTAAAAAATCTTGTAGGTCAATGCAGAAGGGACTACTGTATTATTTATTAAATTAACATTGAGTTGTTAAGCATTGTGTGCAAGACAGGAAATGTACTCAGCTTCTGAGCAATAGTAAGGTGTTTAAATAATTAAGACTTGGGGGTTTTTAACGCAGCTTCAAGTTTGAAGCTGCACTTTTAAATATTAGCAGTCTTCTTCACCCCTTTTTTGTTTACTAAACCTCCTCCTATTGGTCTAAAAAAAAAAACTTGAAAAGTTTTGTGTCAATTCTAAGAAAAAAACATTTCAACCTCTTATTATTTCAAGGTGTTTCAGCTGTATCATAAATTACCCACTCTAAAGAGAAACTTGAAATCAATGCCATAAAATATTTGTAAGCTGTTGATTGGCCTATAAGTAGCAGCTACGTACGGGTGGTGGAGGCAGTTTGGTGATCTCTTTGAGGTTAGCCAGGTAGCGAGCTCGATTGTCAACCACAGGCGCATGGTCCTCCTTGCCCTTGAAGCAGTTTGAGCACAAGTCTCTCTTCCAAGCATTCTGGACGAATCGAGGACAAGACATGACTACAGCAGTGCGATCATGGCTCTCCGAAAGCAACAGGAACAACCTGTGTAAATATATCTTATATTATTAAGAATAAGAATAAGAATACATTTATTGTCATTTTTTGTCAATTTACATTGCTATATAAACAATGTCAAAGGACAAAAGAAATACATTAAAATGCAGTATAAAAGGAAAGAGTACAATGTACTTGTCAGGCTAAACGATAAAACATCACAATTAACAATTAACAACAAATGAATATAAACTATGAAAATTAATAATAAATAAATTACAACTATTTACCAAAGCATCACTGGATCAAAGCTCATCTTCTATATATTAATTTGAAACTGTTTTTTTTGTCACAGCTATTTTGAGAGAACGGCTGGGCGTAGAAACCTAGGAGGATTAAACATTAATGTTTAATCCTCCTAGGTAGAAACTCGGTAGGGGTGTCTAAATAAAGGTCTTGGGCTGTAGATGAGCCATCAAAAGAGAAACATGGTGAATTCCCTTGGGGCTCTGCCCCCGTGGCCCTTAAATTCCCATCCCATGTTATTCTTATGGAGGAAAACGGGGTTTTTGTCACAGCTAATTTGAAAGAACGGCTGGGCGTAGAAACTTGGTAGGGGTCTCTAAAGAAAGGTCTTGGTCTGCAGACGAGCCATCAAAAGAGGAAAGAGGTAAATACCCTTGGGGCTCCGCCCCAGAGGCCTTTAAAGTTGCCTATTCAGATTTGTTTACATTACGACCATATGCATAATTCTACACTACTGTCTAATGCAACAGCTGTTAATATTTAAATTGTGATTTATTGAATTATTTGTCAAAATGAAGTACAGTATTTGCAATGGATTTTTCTGATTTTAAAATTGATTTTTCCTACAGTTACCCGACAAAGTTGGCTTCCGTGTACTGTTTATAGTACAGAAAGCTGCGAATTGCTGCATATTTATACTTTGCCGTACGGTTTATACTTTGTCGTACGGTTTATACTTTGCCGCACATCAGGATTCCAACGAAACAAGACAAAACAGCGTGGTTCTATTATGCACGTAATCCGTGTACGCTTGGAAATAGGTTGGCAACACTTAAAGATAATAATACTATGAGCAGCTGTTTGACTATTATAACTACGATTTAACCTGTCATTTCGTGTTTATAGTTTAGGTATTTCTGAACTTACTGGACTTTTCTTTTAAACGTTTTTAAAACATTCCTACGATCTTAATAAACAAGAAAATACCTTTAAAGCATTTTTTAGGCGCGGAAACCACTTCAAATTACAAAAACATACGGAACTATATTCTCAAAACGCGGAGCACATTTCTTGCCGAGGAAAATAGCGGAGTGATACGGACCGCGGGTACTACTTTCTCTAGGGCACCATTTGTGTTGCCAGCTGAACCTAAAAACGTGTTGTATAGTGTTTGAAAGACTAATTATTTATATGCTTTATAGTGACTGTAGGAAAAATATAATGTGTAACACGAGTGAAAAAGGCCTTTGCTGCACTCGAGATCATTCCGCACTCGCCTGCGGCTCGTGCGTAAACATTGCTCTCGTGTGCAGCAAAGTGCCACTTTCACCACTAGTTACACAAATAACTATTTCTCTGCATCGTATCATGTTTTGCAATATAATGTTCTATTACCAAATCAGTGGAAAATCCTAATATCACAGTAATTTTTGAAATTATTTCTTATAGAGTTAACTTATATCTATATTGTATTGGTTGGTTTCTGCCGTTTTTACCACTTCTTGGAGATTGTACGTAGGTGATATTCTTTGGCATATTGCATCCGTAGACGAAACTTGGGTTGGTGTAATTATTACAATGGAAAAGAGCGAGAAATCCTGGACAATTTGATATAGGCTAAAAATAAAACTGAATTAGCACTGTGCTACTTTCTTGAGCAATCATTGAAATAACCGATTTGCAAACAATGGAAACATAGAAAAAGTCATAGAACACAACCAAGTAGAAGAAATAGAAATAATGGTTTTTTACACTAAAAACACTAAAAAACAAGATTAGCTTTTTGAAAAAAGATAAGATATTTACAAAAGATTTTGATTATATCTAACTGTTGTGTATATCGTGAGTATTTCCATAATCTTTGAGTCGCCTGTAATGCTTTGCAATTGCTCGAATTCGAGCAACAGGTACACTTTAGTCTATATATAAAGCCAAAAGTACCCATAAACTTTTGAGAAAACTACAAGTCACACCCCCATAAACCATATACTTAAAATGTTCGTCATGACGAAAAACCTTGCGCAAAACTATCCATTATTTCATTAATTGCCCTTTAAGGTCGTAATTCCTTTCTAAAGGGAACTTTCCATATACCTAATGTTAAAAATACCTCAGCTGTACTTATTTGTTTGTTATTCTTTCAATTTATTACCTTATTAAAATCAGGTGTGATTATTTGTTTGTTTTACTGTATTTTGTTTATTTCAGGTTAACTTAACCAATCAATAGTTTTTTATGAAGCCAAACGGGGTGAAGCCCGTGGGTAACAGCTAGTTAATATTAAGTTAAAATCTGTATGCTAAAAAGTCATCAAGAGAATAAAACGCTTTATTTATAAACCAGCTTGACAGTTTTGATTTAAACGAATGGATTTCAAGGTTTCTGATCTGTCTGGTGGCAATTAATTGAAGCACTTGATTTGTAGGTATTTGTGGCTGATTATTGTTTTCCGCAATCTAAAAAAGGGTGGGACAATATCTTGTGCCCTTCTAGTGTTATAATTATGAACTTTGTCAAAACATACATAATCACTCTGGTTTTCCTTTACATATACAAGATTTTGAAATATGAAAATGCAAGGGACAGTCATTATATTGTAATCAATAAAACATTGCTAACAGTCATCTTGATAAGGTAAATTGGCCAAAATCCTTACTGCTTTTCTTTGCCAAGCAAAAACATGGATAGCACCTCTACTATTTCCCCAGAGCATTGCGGCATACAGCAAATGAGAATGAAAATCACTATTTAATAACATATTTCTACCAACACATTGTTGTAGCTTACGTAGCAAAAACAGGCCCTTTAAAGTTTTGAAACTACTGAGTTGGTGTGAGATTCCCATGTAAGCTTCTGATCTAAAGTGACCCCTAGTAATTGAACAGGCTTACAATCTTCCTCGGAGTCTAATTTTTTCAAAGTAAAACAGATTGTTTCAGTCTTGTTGGCATTGACTGTACACTGATTATTTACACATTTTGTCTGAGCAAACACTTGTACACTTTCTTAGGAGAGAGTTTTATCAGTAAAACAACCCAATACTGTTAGAAGGTTTGTTGACAGAATTCCACAAAATACTTTCTCTTAGTGTCTTAGTTCATGTTCAAATACAGAGAGAGATGATCTTAAATCAACATAGGAAGGATGATATTTGAAGTTTGTGGGAGAACCACTTATTTGGAGTGGTTTACAGTATGTTCCACACAATTAAGGAAACGACACTCTTATGAATTAATTGTTATTACAAATATAAAAATTTAACTCACTTCTTTGAATGAAATTCCATAAAAAATAATTAAAAATGTTAAACACACAGTGACTTACTTATTTAAACTCTTAATAATTGGTGTGAGATCATGTACATGCGGGTGAATGAAGCTTTCACGCCTGCTCTAGTGCTCCACACAACACAGGGCCAAGCACACACATTCTCACCACAGCTGTTAAATTGAGCTGTTCATTAGTCATACTTTCTACTCAACATCACACAATACACTTGCACGAATCTGTTTATTAACTGGTTAATTGATTTCAGCTCAGTATCACATTGCCCTGATTCTCTTACCCTCCATGTAGTTCATTAATAAAATCAACTTTCATTTTCATTTTTGTCAACAGATTTGAAGTAATAGCGTGTGTAAATTTAAGTTGAAATATTCAATTGAATTGCTAATATAGTAGTTTTTAAACTGACTTTTCTGGATTCAACTATCACTTCTGAAAAATGTATCTGATGTCGACAGGTTAGATTTCATCATCATAAACAAGGTAAACCAAATTAACAATTTAGTTAATAAGTTAAGTTGAGGTACGAAATAAATATGGAAAATAGGTAGTTTGTTTACATTTATTTGCACACCACTTCTAATATATTTACAGTGTTATTTTTTCAAAATTTAGTATATAGTAATACCATTAATAACCCCAGCTAATTGAAACTACAAATTACCTGAAGTAGGCTTTAATTTGCTAAAATAAAATAAAACTTAACATAGGTACTAGAAGTAGGGTAGAAACAAAAAAAATGAGAAAAGAAAGCATTTAGCATTAATTTAATAAAAAAAGTAGAGAAAGAACGGGGAAGAAACATGGTATCAAGTTATGCTCTACACATATTGAGAATGGTCATTATGGTGCCTACGTGGCTGGTAAACATATTTGGGCCATGAAGGAATCAAAACTAATGTGGTATGTAACTAATTTATTCAATTACACACTAAATTCAAGATACAGAAATAACTTATGAATAAATAATTATGAATGAAATAAATAATTATGAGAGTAAAGTTCAGTTAGGAGTCTGAAAGTGGAAGTGTATTCCATTCAAGGATGACTGGACCAAAAACAATTCAACCATCCTGACAAAGAGAAACGATTCTGCAAATACTTGAGCTACCAAGTCGTATCATTGTCTCATTATGGATTGCCGACCAACAAAAACAAAGTTCCGACAAGACAAACGAGAGGAAAGTAGAGAAGTGAGTCTTGTAGAGGAATGGGACCGCGTCTCGTTGTCCCTCCGTCTCGTTGTCCCTCCGTCTACTTGTACCTCGAGGCCTAGGGACAACTAGTCGTAGGTACAACTAGACGTAGGTACAAGTAGACGGTGGCTCACCCGACTAGTTGTACCTGCAGATTTTTAGGAGGTACAACTAGACGTAGGTACAAGTAGACGTAGGTACAACTAGACGTGTATCCCACCGACAAGTAGTATCACCTAGCTTGTACGGATGCGACCAGTTGTCCCTACGACTAGTAGTCCCTACGACTAGTAGTCTCTACGACTAGTGGTCCCTCCGTCT